TTTCTTTAACAGCTGTGTCAATATTTTCTATGGTGTCTACTGCACCTGAGATTCTCTCTTCTATCTCTTGTATTCTGTTGGTGATGCTTGCATCTATGACTCCTGATTTTTTTCTTAGGTTTTCCCTCTCCAGGGTAGTCTCCCTTTGTGATTTCTTTATTGTTTCTACTTCCATTATTATGTCCTGGATGGATTTGTTCAATTCTTTCACCTGTTTTGTTGTGTTCTCTTGTACTTTTTAAAGGGAATTTTGTGTTTCCTCTTTAAGTGCTTCTACCTGTTTACCTGTGTTCTCCTCAAATTCTTTGAGAGTGTTATTTATGCCCTTCTTAAAGCCCTCTATCATCATCATTAGAAGTGATTTTAAATGTGAATCTTGCATTCCTGGTGATATGGGGAATTCAGGACTTTCTAGTGTGGGAGAACTAGGTTCTAATGATGGCAAGTACCCTGGGTTGCTGATGCTTATGTTCTTGCCCTTACATTTCACCATCTGGATTACCTTAGCGCTTCCTACCCCATCTCTTACTGGAGCCTGTCTTTCCTATTATCTTGGTTGTTTCAGAACTGTGTGGGGTGGGTGTTACTACTAGGGATAGACCTGAGGCCCAAGATCTGCTCAGTGCTCGGGCCCAGACTGGAAGGAACCAGTGCTCTGGGCCAGGAGTGAATTCCTGGGTCCTAGTGGGTCCCAGTTACTCCCTGTTTGGGGTGGGTGTTGCTGCCTCCTTACATAAGATGTTGCCCAGGTTAGAGCTCCTGGGAGGCCCACATGATTGTAGCTTCATAGAACAAACTGGGTAGTGTTCCTTCTGTTTCTATTCTGTGGAATGGTTTGAAGAGAATGGGTATTAGGTCTTTCTTGAAGTTCTGATAGAATTCTGCACTAAAACTATCTGGTCCAGGGCACTTTGGTAGGGAGACTTTTAATGATTGCTGCTATTTCTTTAGGTGTTTTGGGACAGTTTAGACAGTTTATCTGCTCCTGATTTAATTTTGGTACCTGGTATCTGTCTAGAAAATTGTCCATTTCATCCAGATTTTCCAATTTTGTTGAGTATAGGCCTTTGTAGTAGGATCTGATAATTTCTTGAATTTCCTCAGTTTCTGTTGTTATGTCTCCCTTTCCAGTTCTGATTTTATTAGTTTGGATACTGTCTCTGTGCCCTCTGGTTAGTCTGGCTAAGGGTTTATCTATCTTTCTGGTTTTTTTTCAAAGAACCAGCTCCTGGTTTTGTTGATATTTTTTATACTTCTTTCTGCTTCTACTTGGTTGATTTCATCCCTGAGTTTGACTATTTCCTTCCATCTACTCCTCTTGGGTGTATTTGCTTCTTTTTGTTCTAGAGCTTTCATGGTGTGCTGTCAAGTTGTTAGTGTACACTTTCTCCAGTTTCTTTTTGTAGGCACTTAGAGCTATGAGTTTTCCTCATAGCACTGTTTTCATGGAGTCCCACAACTTTTTGTATGATGTGTCCTCATTTTAATTAAATTCAAAAAAGTCTTTAATATTTGCATTTCTTCCTTGACCAAGTCATCATTGAGTAGAGCTTTGTTCAGTTTCCATGTGTATGTGGGTTTTCCATTGTTTTTGTCATTATTAAAGACCAGCCTTATTCCATCGTGATCTGATAGGATGCAAGGGATTATTTTAATCTTTTTGTATCTGTTGAGGCCTATTTTGGGACCAATTATATTCTCTATTTTGGAGAAAGTACCATGAGGTGCTTAGAAAAAGTTATATTCTTTTGATTTAGGATGAAATGTTCTATAGATATCAGTTAAATCCACTTGGTTCATAACTTCTGTTAGTTTCATTGTGTCTGTGTTTAGTTTCTGTTTCCATGATCTATCCATTGCTGAGAGTAGGGTGTTGAAATCCCCCACTATTATTGTTTGAGGTGCAATGTATACTTTGTGCTTTAGTAAACTTTCTTTTATGTATGTGGGTAACCTTGCATTTGGACCATAGATGTTCAGAATTGAGAATTCATCTGGTAGATTTTTTTCTTTGATGAGTATAAAGTGTCCTTCCTTAACTTTTTTGATTACTTTTGGTTGAAAGTTGATTTTATTTGATATTAGAATGGCTACTCCAGCTTGTTTCTTGGGACCATTTTCTTGGAAGATTGTTTTCCATCCTTTTACTGTGAGGTAGTTTCTGTCTTTTTCACTGAGGTGCGTTTTCTGTATGCAGCAAAATTCTAGGTCCTGTTTATGTATCCAGTCTGATAGTCTACAACTTTTTGTTAGAGAATTGATATTAAGAGATCTTCAGGAAAAATGATTGTTGCTTCCTGTTATTTTTATTATTAGCAGTGGAATTATGTTTGTGTAGCTATCTTCTTTTGGGGTTGTTGGAAGATTACCTCCTCGGTTTTTCTAAGTTGTAATTTCCCTCCTTGTGTTGGAATTTTCCATCAATTATCTTTTGAAGTGCTGGATTTGTGGCAAGATGTTGTAAAAATTTGGTTTTGTCATGGAATATCTTGGTTTTTCCATCAATAGTGATTGAGAGTTTTGCTGAGTATAGTAATCTTGGCTGACATTTGTGTTCTCTTAGAGTCTGTATGATATCAGTCCAGGATCGTCTGGCTCTTATAGTCTGGGGTGAGAAGTCTGGTGTAATTCTGACCTCTTTCCCTTACTGCCTTTAGTATTTTTTCTTTGTTTTGTGCATTTGATATTTTGATTATTATGTTACAGGAAGTATTTCTTTTCTGGTCTAGTCTATTTGGAGTTCTGTAGGCATCTTGTATATTCATGGACATCTCTTTCTTTAGGTTAGGGAAGTTTTCCTCTATAATTTTGTTGAGGATATCTACTGGCCCTTTAAGTTGGGAGTCTTCACCGTCATCTATACCTATTATCCTTAGGTTTGGCCTTCTCATTGTATCCTGGTTTTCCTGGATGTTTTGGGTTAGGACCTTTTTGCATTTTGCATTTTCTTTGACAGTTGTGTCAATGTTTTCCATGGTATCTTCTACATGTGAGATTCTCTTCTATCTCTTGTATTCTGTTGGTGATGCTTGCATCTATGAATCCTGATCTCTTTCCTAGGTTTTCTATCTCCCAGGTAGTTTCCCTTTGAGATTTATTTATTGATTCTACTTCCATTTTTAAATCCTGGATGGTTTTGTTTAATTCCTTCTCCTGTTTGGTTGTGTTTTCTTGCTATTCTTTAAGGGATTTTTGTGTTTTCTCTTTAAGGGCTTCTATCTGTTTACCTGTGTTCTCCTGTACTTCTTTTAGGGAATTATTTATGTCCTTCTTAAAGTCCTCTATCATCATCATAAGAAGTGATTTTAATTCTGAATCCTGCTCTTCTGATGTGATGGGGTGTCCAAGGCTTGCTCTATTGGGAGAACTGGCTAGTGATGATGCCAAGTAACTTTGGTTTCTGTTGCTTATGTTCTTGTGCTTGCCTTTCACCATCTGGTTAACTCTAGTTTTACCTGCCTTCACTGTGTCTGACTGGAGTCTGTATTTCCAGTTATCTTGCTTGTGTCAGAACACCTCGGGGTCCAGATGTCTCTGTAATCCTGTGATCCTGAGCTCCCGCTGCTCTGAGTGCAGTGGCTCCTCTAGGCTGTCTCAGGATATGGTGTCTCCATGGGAGCAGAGTGGCTAGGTGTCCGCTGCTCTGGGTGCAGTGGCTCCTCTAGGATGTGTCAGGAAATGGTGTCTTCATGGGATCAGACCAGCTAGATATCTGCCCCAGCCACAAGAACCAAGCAAGGGGTAGAAGGGTAGTGGTATCCCGCAGGGGCCGGGTTTGGGTGCCTGGTGGGTCCTGAGCACCCAGGCTCCCAGTTGTAGCTCTGGGACATAGGGTAGTGGGAGAGGGTTCTTACCTAGTACTCTGTGTGCAGTGGCTTCTCTAGGATGTCTCAGGATATGGTGTCTTCCCAGGAGCAGACCAGCTAAGTCGAGCCAAGCTTTCAAAATCATGAGAATTTGGGGACTCTCACGGTAACTCCCCACAAACTTAACCAGGCATGCTGCTAAATCTCACATATCTTGGCCTACTTATGACCTTCCCTAAAGGAGAATGTATGGACTTCTGGATTAATTCTTACAAACTAGCCATTTGACAGAATAGAAACTGAACCAACTCTGACTACAACCTCTCCTTGGGTGGTTTAGAGAAATAGGGCTCAGATCCAGTCAGAAAAGTGTAGAGTCAAGGGGTGTGTGGGGACCAATAACAATAAAAAGATCTGGCAAGGCTTGATTCTGTAACTGAGGTCCAGCAGGTGCCTTAGCCATCCATGCAAGCCAGAGTCTCTACCATGAAGTGTGTTAAAAGGATCACCCCTTAGATGTAGTAAGGCCTTCTGTTAAACATCAAACAACTTGGCCCATGCAAGACCTTACCTAATGGAGAACATATAAAGTGGGCCATTCCTTCTAGGCTGTGCCCTGTAGTTACCTAGCAATAGCCATGTATGGCTGACTCACTATAAAAAGTGCTGTTTGAACCCGCCTCACTGTGTTACTCACTAACTCTCTTACACTCTTATTCTCTTTCCTCTCTGACCCTTCTCTCCCCAATCACCTCCCTCCTCTTTCTCACCCGTTCATAGCCAGCCTCTACTCCTCCTCTCTTTTCCTCTCCCCTCCCTTCCTCTCATCTCCTCCCATCCTCGAACCTTCCTCCTTCCCTCCATACTCCCTTCAAAACATCCCTTCCCATGCCCTAAATAAACTCTATTCTATCCCTGTGGCTGGTACCTCAGGGGGAAGGGATGCCTCAGCATGGACCCACAGAGGCATCCTCCCCGACAGACACAATACCATACCTCTTCCAAACATATTCCTGATTATTTCTTTTTATAAAACACAATAGAGTTCCCATTTGATTCTTACAAACTAGCCATTTCCAGGAATAGAAACTGAAACTTACTCTGACTACAGCGTCCCCCACCCCTTCAGTGGTTTAGATAAATAGAGCTCAGATCCAGGCGGAAAACTTTAGAGAACAAGGGCTGTGTGTGAAACAGTAAAGACAAAGAAACCGAGTGGATCAGACTGTCCATCACACGGCCTCCTCCTTTCTTTTTGGAGTTCTCACTTGGGCACCAGAACTCCACATCTCATGTCTTCACTTCATAACCATCCTGAATGTGATTTCCAGCTTTAGATAGAGACCTTTCCCGAGAGGAGAGCATTCACAGAAATGTTATTGCCGCTAAGGTCACCACTGCTGAGGTAAGTGAAGGGTGTCTAGGTTCAGCTTGTCTGATAACCCAAGATGTGTGAAAACATGAGGAGTGGTGTCCTGACACCAGGAAAGGAAAGTTTATGGCTTTGTTCTCAGGGAGCATCCTGGGCACAGGAGTGCCCTTCAGTGGCCATCTTCTGGACCACAGAGCATCCCAAAGCAGAGAAGGCAACCCCTTCCTTCCACCTGTGTGTTGTGGGCATTGCTTGACTTCTGCAGCAGTCAAGCTTGGAGAAAGAGTCCAGATTGGGATACTCAGATGTCCTTGGAGTCCATGCTGTAGGCTCTTCATTTGTCCCATGAAGAAAAAAATCCCAGATCAGAAACTGCCACAGACAAGTTCTGGCAGATCATGTTAGGCCCTTCAGTTTTCAAAGATTCTTCTGCCCTCATTTACTTGTTACTCTGAAGGGTCTACTTTTGAGTTCTTCCTGTTTCTCTCTTGCAGTCTGCAAAACAATTTGCTCTGTATATTCAAGGTTTTCACTATAATATGACTTCAGCAGTTTCTCTTTCTGCCCTGTGTATCAAGAGTTCTACATGCTTCTTGTATCTATCTGGATGTGCTTTGCTGTTCCTAAATTTGGGAACATTTCTGCTAGCATTCATTGAATATATTTTCTATGCTGTTGGAATGAAGTTCTTCTCCTTCTTCTATGCCCATACATTTCCTGGTGTTCCAAAGATTACACACGGTTTGTTCATGGGTTTTTCAATTATTATGGCCAATCTTGAACAAGTCTTCGAAATCTATATTGGAAGTATCTCTATATACTTATAACTGGTGAAAATCTCTCCTCCATATGATCCACAGTGTTGATGAGCCTTTCCATTGGGCATTTGATTTATCAAGTTTTAATTTCTAGCCTCATTTAAGACAAGATTTTCTTCAGTATTTCTGTTTATTGAATTCCATCATCATACCGTTTTTCGACCCCTCATTTTCATTCAGCTGATTGAGACCTTTCTTTCTTGGTCATATTTACAATCATCCTTTTCAATTCTTTCTCTGGAACTTCACATATGTCATTCTCATGAAAACCACAAGACTTTCCCTGGCATTTGTCATTTTTAGAGGAGATGAGCTGTCTTTGTTTTTCATATAACCTTTGGCTTTGTGTTTGAATTTGCTATTAGGAGATAGATAACTTGTTAGTGTTCTGAGTTTTGTAGGGCAAGAAAGAGAGACACTGCAGGATTTGTTAAAGCTTAGCAAGCAGCAGGGAAGGACAGTCTCTGATAGAATGAACCCCACAGAGCCTGTGGAATCACTTTCATTGATTGGTACAAAAAAGGGCCTTTTAGGAATTCAATTCCCACAGACCAAAACCTCTTGCTTCATCTAAAAGTTATCTGAAAGAATCATTACCTGAGCAATTCTCAACCACACAAGGCTTCCTGGTTTGTCAAATATGTCTTGGGACTGAGGACATGCTAAGGTTCTGAAATTCCCAAGGATCAGCAACCTCATAAGTTTCAGATAACAGTCACTGATTGTTTTCAAGAGATTAACTTCAAAGCTTAAGTGACCATCATGCCAAAGTAAATGCAAAGTGCAGTGGCCCTTCCAGTTTGCACACTGCATTGGCTTTTCTTTAAGCTCTGTTCAGTTATCATGAAAATTAAGTTTATGTTGAAGATCATGCATCCTTCCAGTATATACAGTGTTTTCTCTGTCGTGGTATTTCACAATCTTGCACAAAGAAGCCAATAAACTTATTAGGGAAAAGACAAGGATAGCAGTTGCTAGACCAAGGAATCATTTTGAGAAAGTGTCCTTAATTTCTTCTTCAAAATCATGAATCACTAAGAAAATGAGAGTGGCCCATCAAATGTGTTTTAACCTTTTTTCCAGTCATACTTGTTCTCGTTGAATTTAAAGGTGAAACACAGTATATAACATGCTGTCACATTTAAACTTCATTTGTTCTTTGACTGTCCCTAACTCCTATCAGTATTAGAGCTTGTTTCATATCAGCTATTCCATTAACCATATCACCATTTTATTGTGTTGAGTCCAAAGTTCTGCAGAATGCTTATGCCAGCCACTTGTGAACTCGGCAGTATTAATTTCTTATTAAGCGCCAGTCTATCTGTAGTATCAACAATAGCTAATACAATAATTCCCATAATGACAGCAACAGTCAGCCCAGTCATCCTACAAGTTCTTATTAATACTCTTTCAGCGAGTTTTAAAAATCATCACCTGTGAGTCTTGTCATGGCCTTGACAGGTTCACCAGATTAAAGACTGGTGGCCTTGCTCTAAGAATGCACAAATACTCAGAAGTGACACTTAAGGACATGCTAGAATTAACAAGGCTATGAAGAGTACAATATTCACAAGTGATACTATAATTATTAGGTTGGCCCTGTACAGGCCTTTTCAATAGCAAGTAAGGTCATGATATACATACTACAAAGGGACGACATTGATTTAAGCTAATAATCAGAGACTACTGGCCATCATTAGTGTTTAAACTCCCTTTCCATGCTTAAAGAGAGTAAAACGCACTTGCTCTTTTCCACAAATTAGTCTGCACTGGATGGCCAAATTACAGGAGAGGACCTGACAGTCTGACCCCATGGTATCAAATGCATTCATTAACAATAAAACTAATTTCCACAATTCCATTTGAATTATACAATGGCCATCTAAGTTCTGAATGAGAACATTTTCTCAAGGAAAGTACCAAGAACTCCAATCAATCACTTCTTCATGGGATATCAACAAGCATCCAAGGGTGCACCATTTAACTTTGTTGTCTTTGTATTCAGTCCAATTCCTTGTTAGTAATCCACATCTCACAAGACAAGATGTTACATTTATGGAACTAGTAGCCCTAATCTTCTATCCACTAAAGGTAGATGTGTGAAGCATATAAAACTTATGAAAATTCTAAGTAGCATCAACTATGAATAACCACACATGAAAAGTTTCATGTAGTCTTTCAGTTCCATTACCAATACAAATAGGAGTTCCTTGCACTCTCGTGGTATAACTCATGATTTCTGTAGTCTCCTCCATAGCTTTACCACTTCCCAGCTGTCATAAGGATCAGGTAAACAAAAAGATTTATTAACCACCAGGAAGATATCCATATCTCCCCTACTTACTCCTGTGCTAATTGTAGGATTAGGAATATAGGCCCAATGTGTATACTTGATGCCCATTGCTGTATAATTACCATAGATACCATAGAAAGGAACAAAGTTGTACCATTCAAGGTTTTGTCCAATTTTTCTCCAGATATGAGAGAGAACATCAGGTTTGCTTCTGTGACACTTGGTGACCTCACTTAACATTTAGTAGCTCTGCCAGTTTGTCTGAATGTTATACACTTCCATTGATGTTATGCAGGAATCCAGTTCCATTGTGTCTCTGTGGCACATCCTCATTATCCACTTATCCTCTGGGCTGATTGCATTTCCCAGCTGTTGTCACTAGAGCAGTGATGAACATCATGTTCCAGGGACTTTGTGCTAGGATATAGAGTCCTTCAGGGCTACACTCAGGAATGGTGTCACTGATTCCATAATGGCTGTGCTTGCTTACAAACCCACAGCAGCAAATAAGGACTCCCCTTCCCCTACATCCACACCAGCATCTGTTGCCGTGTTCTCTCTTGATGAAAGCCTCTCTGACTCAGGTGAGATGAAATTCCAAAGTAGCTACAATTTGCATAATTTAATGGCTGAGGATGCTGAACATTTTTTTTTAAATATATACTTATTGGTCATTTGTATTTCTTCTGTGAACTCTATTCAGTTACACATCCATGTTATGATTGAACTGTTTGTTTCCTTATTGATCAGGGTTTTTAACTTCTGTGCATATTTTGAATATTAATCTTCTGAAGAATGAATTCCTAATAAGGGTCCCCTCCCATTTGGCAATCTGTCTTTGTACTTGTCTGTTTCCTTTGCTGTACAGAAGCTTTTAATTTCCATGAGTTCCTGCTTGTAGTCATGGCCTCATTTCCTGAGCAGCTGGAACCCTACTGGGAAAGCCCCTACCTATCCCTACTTCTTAAAGAGTTTTCACTCCAGAGATTTGAGCTCCATTTCTTAATAGAAAGTCCATTCTCCAGTAAGATCCTTTGAAAGAAAAAAGAGGAAGTGGAAGAGGAAAAAAAGAAACAAAGAAACAAACAAAGAAAGTCCTGTGGCTGTTGCCCTGTGGGTTTATATCTGTATTGTCTGTGCGCCCCTGCTTTTTAAGTTGTATGATACTCAGGCAATACCATGGGCTTTGTTACTGTCCTTCTGAAGCAGACTTGAAACAAAGTACAGTAATGTCGTTAGTATTTTCCCTGCCTCAAGCTTGCTTTGTTTGTCTGAGATCTTTCACGCTTTCAACTAAATTTTAAGATTTTTTTATTGGATATTTTATTTATTTACATTTCAGATGTTATCCCCTTTACCCATTTCACACTCCCCAGAAACTCCCTATTCAATCCCCCTCCTCCTCCTTCTCCCCTACCAACTCCCACCTTCCTGCTTTTGAATTCCCCCACACTGGGGTATCCAGCCTTCCCAAGACAAAGGACCTTATCTCCCATCCATGCTGACAAACCCATCATCCCCTACATATACATTTGGAACCATGGGTCCCTCCCTGTGTGCTCCCAGACTGGCTGTTTAGACCCTGGGGGCTCTGGTTCGTTGGTCTTGATATTCTCCCCATGAGGCCACAAACCCCTTCAGCTCCTTCAATCTTCTCTCTCACTCCTCCATTGGGAACCCCATGATCAATTCAATGGTTAGCTGAGAACATCTGCCTTTGTAGATGTCAGGATCTGGCAGACCTCTCAGGAGACAGATATATCAGGCTCCTGTCAGCATGCACTTCATGGTTTCCACAACTTCATCTGCCTTTGATGACTACACGTGGGATGAATACCCAGGTGGGGCAGTCTCCAGACCTCCCCTACTTAAGTCTCTGCTCCGTACTTTGTCTCCATATTTGCTCCATTGAGTATTTTGTT